TTTTTTACCTTAAAGTTTACGTTTACAAGTATCGGTCACGTGATGAGTGCTTTTTAAAAAAATATCACGTGACGCCCACATTTTAGCTGGTTGGAGAAATGAGTGTTTACTTTTTGATTGGGTCAGCAGGTTGTTTTTAGCGTGCGGGTTTTTCCGTTTTTTAAACACATATTTCATGGTGGGTAATCAAAGATATGTGCTCATACATAAGGGGGATAAAAATTGAGTGTGTGGGTAACTAGTGGGGGGGGGGGAGGTTAGAGTATGGGTAGTAAGTTTAGTCAGTCCGTGTGTTGGGTAGTTAAGTTTAGGTGTTGGTAGTTATGTCTGGTATTGGGGTAGTAAGGTTTAGCTATCGTATTTATTGACTTGTTAAATCTAGTAAAAAAAAAAGTAAAGAATCCCCTTTAGACCAAAAGATTCATTGGGAAGATGAAGTAGAATTCGTATGTTTCTTGAGACCGGCATATGAAGGGAAGATGTAATCAGCCGTTAAGTTTAGGTGATTGTAGTTTAGAAATGTGCGTCATTAGGTTAATTTTAGAGTGTGAATGTGTTGAGTGGTAAATGGTAAAGTTTGTTGTTTGGGTATTGACCTATCATTTGTGTGTGGTTTGTCATGTGTGTGTTTGGATGTTTAGTGTGGGACGGAGTGGCCTAACGGTAGACCGCTAAGCCGTAAGTCTCGAGCTCGAATCCGGGTGAAGACTGTAGACCTCCCCGAGTCCACCCAGCTCTGATGGGTACCTAACTCACGTTAGGGAAATTAAAGGCGGCGGGGCATAATGCTGACCACACTATCCCTTCATATGTCGAAGTTACAGAAAAAGGCGAACTCTACTTCACTTGCCCTATAGACCGTCAGGTTTGAAAGGGAAACTTTACTTTTAATTTGTTTATGTGTGAAGTTAATTTAATAAGTTGTGTGGGAAGATTTGTGTAGACGCTTCACTGTGTGGGTTGACTTTTTGTAGGGACAAAAACAAAAAAAATCAAGAACAACGTGTAAATATATACTCATGTAATGGTGCTGTAATCTTGTCTTTACATATATAGCTAGACTTGGCATTACTTGTCCAGTTGACATTCTAGTCTAGACAGTTTTAGGTCTACTTGAGACCCCAGACACTTGCTAAAAACCATATGCTTGCTTAAACTATCTATGTGCATTACAATTGACCTAGCTGGATTACTCACTCCATACAAAAAGCTCGGTAATTGGATGCGTGAAGCAGGGAATCTATCCTTTTGATGTTTCGGTTGTCATGGTAACCTGAAGGTCTGAGAGTGGGTGATGACGACTGATCCCTGACGTCACGCGAGACACCACGGCGCGGATCTGAAGGCGCGTCACGGGGGTAGAGAGTATTTAATGACGTCGTGGGACCGTGAGGTCACAGCCGAGTGGTGGCTCGGTTAAATATGGCGGATGTTCGGTGACCTTGGGGGACTGCTCGGCTTAAACTGGTAAAGGTCAGGGGGTGGGGCGTGGACGACTGACATCAATTTGTGTTTCCCATGATGCCTTGGATGGAGCAGACGGCTAATAATCAACGGGTGCTTTGACTTCACTCTGACAAAATTGTGCCTGTGTGAATTTGGGCTGGGGAGAAATTCTTGCATGGACCAATTTTTATCTTAACTGGGCCAATATATTATGTAAGGACCATTTTTTGCTAAAACCAACTTGTGTTGTGACCAATGTGTAATGGAATTCCTTTTTTTCTCAGACCAACTTCATTGGGGTCCAATTTTTTTCTTCCATTTTCTTGGACTGAGATCCATCCTGTCTAAAGAACAAAGTAAACATAAGACAAAATACTTGAGCATGCCAATTCAAAATAAAGATTTTGTAAACATTTATTCAAATATAAAAATCAATTTTATCGAAAACTTCAAAAATATTTTTAAATCTAAAAATATTCTTTACATGGTAATCTTTTTCAAGTCGTAGACCTATTTTATTCCCATCCATGTTAAGCTATTCTGCGACAAGTCTATTTCCGTCCTCTTCTATAAATAGACATTGCGGCTAGTCTAAACATCCTAACCTATCACAGCAACCAGCGGAAGTAGACGGTACTTTTCAACGCGGCTAATTTTACATCGTCTGCAAATTATTCTAACGGCTTGAGTCTACACGGCTTACTTATACAAATGACGTCATGGTGACGTTTACTGACGTCTAAAACTTGAAAGCGATGCAGTTTTTTTTTTTTAAAGAAAAGTCTATCACTTGAGTCATTTAATTAAGTTCAGCGTAGTTTTTGGAAACATTTCAAAATTCCAGAAATTTAGTTTAAAATCGTTCATAATCTTGTCATGTCATATCAAGCATAAATAGATCTATATTTAACCCTTTTAGCTTTAGGAAGATTTTTTTAGTTAATGTAATAATCAGTGATAACTTCGCTGATCCCACAATCAATGGGAAAATTATTGGTTTGCCAATAATACATTTTTTTTTTTGTACATTAACTTTTTAACTTTACAATATTTTTTCCCTTAAATTCTGATCTATTAATCTTCTAAACATGAGCTAATGGGCTATGACAAAAAGTATTTTCAAGTTTCACTTATCAGACGACAAAATTATCTCCCCTTCTTTCACGGCTCATCAGTGATGTCATATCCTATAGCCCGGCGTAATCCTCATGACTTCCGGCTGCGAAATCTCGACCATTTTTTGTCACTCTCTAAATCTTTGAGTTAAGCTGCCATTAGGGCAACATGAAACCCTGGGGTCAGTTATAAAGACAAGCTGGAGGGGGAGGGACGGGGCTATGTACCCAGGGCACCGGGCGCGGGCGTTGGGCTACTCCGCTTTATTTGTATAAGACAATTTGGAAATTTGCTCGTTTTACGACTGAACACTATCGCTACCCTAACCTTCACCTTGACCCTAAACGTAGGACTAACCCTGTATCTGAACCTATCACATGCTACTACAGTAAAACATAATCTCATGTACTGCCTTCAGTATTGTTAGAGAGCTGTATCTAGATTAGGATTAGGAACAATGACAAGATTAAGATTAAGATAGTTTCTACACCTCTCAGTTTCCACACACGTCTCACAATTTAAGAACCGTCAACATAACGGGATAAAAAATAAATCACAGTAACCCTAACCTATACAGAAAGTTACCCTAACCCGTAAATAAAAACCTGTGTAGTATTAAAAAGCTATAATGACGGCTTGAGTCGTAGTTGTATTCGTTGTTATCTGAGGGGATCGGGGTATCGATCCTATCAATAGTCATCGATTACCTTGTGTGCAAAAAGTTCGCGTCAGCGAAACGTACACAAACGACATGGCTGGCTGAAACTGTTTGCATGCACCGCTAAAGGTCAGAGGTCGCCGTGTTAGGACGGTCAGAGTTTTGATTCAGTCGTTTGTTCCCCCCCCCCCCCACACACACACACACGCACGCACGCACCTGGTGAGTCAAAGGTCGGGAGGGACGGGTGTAAGTGCGACGTGAGGTGAGTAAACACAGTTGGTCAGCACACGGGGTGGTTGTAGCACGGCGGTGGGTGCTCGGGGGAGGGGGAGGCAAGAAGGTGGCTGCATAGTGAGGGGGAGGGGAGGGTGAGGCCAGACGGTGGCTGCATAGTGAGGGGGGAGAGGGTGAGGCCAGACGGTGGTTGCATAGTTGGGGGGAGGGGGGGGGGCAAGACGGTGGTTGCTTAGAGGGGGTGGGGGAGGGGGAGGCCAGACAGTGGTTGCGGGGAGGGTGGGGCAATACGGTGGTTACATAGTTGGGGGGGGGAGGGTGGGGCAAGACGGTGGTTGCATAGTTGGGGGGGGGAAGGTGAGGCCAGACAGTGGTTGCGGGGAGGGTGGGGCAATATGGTGGTTGCATAGTTGGGGGGGAGGGTGGGGCAAGACGGTGGTTGCGGGGAGGGTGGGACAATACGGTGGTTGCATAGTTGGGGGGGGGAGGGTGGGGCAAGACGGTGGTTGCATAGAGGGGGGGGGGGGAGAGTGAGGCCAGACAGTGGTTGCGGGGAGGGTGGGGCAATATGGTGGTTGCATAGTTGGGGGGGAGGGTGGGGCAAGACGGTGGTTGCGGGGAGGGTGGGGCAATACGGTGGTTGCATAGAGGGGGGGGGGGAGAGGCTGGGGCAAGACGGTGGTTGCATAGAGGGGGGGAGGGGGGGGGGCAAGACGGGGGTTGCATAGAGGGGGTGGGGGAGGGTGAGGCCAGACAGTGGTTGCATAGTGAGGCCCTAAAAGGCGGAGGGGGGGGGAGTGGAGCATGACGGTGGGTGCATGTTGTGGCCGTGGTGGAGGGGGTAGACAGGGTGCAGTAGTGGTTGCATAATGTGGCCGGTTTGTGGGTGGTTGGGGGTGCGGCGGTGCTACCACTGTTCAACACTTGTGTTTGCACGTCTGTGCTTTATATCACCAAACATAGATTTATTCGAGTTTTCTAGTTTTTATATATCTGCCAAATCCCGCGAAAACTCTTTTAATAGATGTTTGTTTTGTAACCGATTCGTATTGACGGTGTAAATATATTACTAGGCAATTGATTAAAGCAAATACCTTCAATAAATGAACGTCAACTAAGATGAGTAATTATGTCAACGGAAATTTCAACCCTCCCTTCTCTTTCTATTACTTGTCTCTCGCATTTATAATTCTCTACCCTTTAACAGAGAAGATACAACGCAAGGGAAATAATTCTGAACTTCAGTTTAAAAATTATCATAGACGCAATTTTTAAATATAGCATTGAAACATCTTACTGAATGGTAAAAACATATAATAATTAATTATTTATAAAATCCTTTACAATTTAATTTAATCAATGTATCTAAATTAAAGCAATAAAAATATTTTTTTAAATCAACAAAATTATTTAACGAAACAGCAATAAACGTTTAGTTGTGTCGTTTTAAAGAGTCAGCTTTGTTCTAACGTAGCGATTCATCATATGTCTCTAATTTGCTAAATCTCAATAATTAGATCTTTAAGATATAGAATCTATGGCGACTTCCGGTTCAAATGATTAGTTAGATTCTTTACCTTCCAACGTGGCTATTTCAGTTAATTAGGGTTATTTCTACATATTTCATATACCGGCGCCTATTAACTCTTTACAGGACAGAGTCTATATTAAGAAATGGAAGTAGACTCTGCTCCTGCCCCACCAGGCACTTTATACAAGCTGTATAAAACAGTTTCAAATCGCCATCAATACTACCTTGACAAGGCAACACCCCATCTTTTACCAAGGTGGATTTTTGCTGTAGTTTTAGTTATTGCATACTTCCTTAGAGTATTCTTTTTACAAGGCTGGTATATAATTACATATGCATTAGGTATCTATTTGCTGAATTTGTTTATTGCCTTTCTTACACCAAAAATTGATCCTGCTGGATTTGAAGATTCAGATGGAGATGATGGCCCATCACTGCCTACAAAAAATAGTGAAGAGTTTAGGCCATTTATGAGGCGGCTTCCTGAATTTAAATTTTGGTATTCTTTTACTAAAGCAATTGTTGTGGCCATGATCTGCACATTTTTTGATGCATTGAACATCCCAGTCTTCTGGCCAATTCTGGTCATGTATTTTATCATTCTCTTTACACTTACCATGAAGAGGCAAATCAAGCACATGATCAGGTCACCACAGTGTGTGACATCTAGTGATTAATGCCCAGCTGGTTGCATCTGTTAAAAACACCATCACACTATTTTTCTGGCAACTCAAAATGTTTACAATGGACCTAAAAATAAAAAAGAACTTGTCTAAATAAGCTAAATATATTTTGAAAACAATTTGCAAATAAAGATTTTTTTCTTAAAAAAAAAAAAAAATAAAAAAAAAATAGATCTTTAAGATATTCATGCCTTTGATGCTGTGTAAAATCTATCAAATAAATTATTATTACAGAAGAAAAAAAAATTAAAAGTAAAAATGGTAAACCTTGATACATAAAAAAATGATCTTTAAACAAAACAAAAAACAAATAAAAATTACCAACGCAAGATAGCTAGGTTATACTCAATCTCAAAAATTAGATCTTTTAAACAAAAAAAAATTAGCTCTTAATCTAAATCTTCAGACAATCACTACCGTCTATTTAATTCGTCTACTTCGGTCTATATTGTTAGTGTAAATTGTAAAATGCTGCACTATCTTATCTTTGCAATGGTTGTGGATGCAGATTTCGTTCTCAAACTATAGACCCGCCCCGCTGATTGGGCTATGGCAGAGGCTTAGTTTAATGACTTAAACCACAAAATTAGATTAAGTCAAATAGCAACAAAAGTCATGTTTTGTGACGTGCTACAAGCGGACGGAGTAGTCTAGCGGTAGAGAGCTGGACTGCTTACACGCAAGACTCGAGTTCGAATCCGGGTTCAAGTCAGGTGACCTTCCACCTAACTCTGATGGGTACCTAACTCACGTAAGGGAAAGTTAAGGCGGCTGGGCATAGTGCTATCTCTTCATATGCCCAGGTCACAGAAACAAGTGAACTCTACTTCACTTGCCCCATAGACCGTCAGGTTTGAAAGGGAAACTTTACTTACTTTACAAGCGAACAACATTTTGCTGCGCCAGCATTTTAACCTTGCTATTTTCGTTTATTTAGCAGTTGACTGCTAACCCGATAGCCTCGAGTTCGAATTCAGGATCAAGTCAGTAGACCGTCCCTGAGTTCACCCAGCTCTGATGGGTACCTAGTAAGTTAGGGAAAGTAAAGACAGCCGGGTAAAGTGCTGAACACACTATCATTTCATACGTCGAGGTCAAAGAAAAAGGTGAACTCTACTTCACTTGCCCCATGGACCGTCAGGTTCTAAAATAAAATTTTACTGAAATTTTAATCAATAAGCTATTCTTATTTTCAGTTTTATTAATTGCGCTTTTCAAAATTAAATGAAATTTTGGCTACTACGCGATAGTGTACATGGCGATTTATCCTTATTATACGATACTAGGTCTAGGATTTTTATTACGTTTGATGCTAGATTTGGGTCCTTTTTTAACGTGAGGCATCATGAGGGCTTATGCCTAGGCTCGCGTCCTTTATGAAGATTATGCTAGTGTCCTCTGGTTTGATGCTAGATTTGGGTCCTTTTTGAACACGAGGCATCATGAGGGCTTATGCCTAGGCTCGCGTCCTTTATCAAGATTATGCTAGTGCTAGATTGCTAATTATGCTAGTGCTAGATTGCTAAGCCCGCCTGTCACCCTCAAACGGAAATGAACCCTATGTCTCAGTTCCAATAAACGGACACCCTACTTTTTGATCACGTGATATGTTAATATCAATAATTGAAGGACGGGTTTGAGTGGACGGGACTTAATTAGTTTGGGTAATTCAACCGGAAGCAGACGCCTGGTGCCCAGACGCGGGCCATCACGACGCAACAGAAAAGAGCTGCTTGGGGCCGCTTGGAGCCGTGGAGCACGAGCGGATGACGAGGGTCTAATGACTTTTGGCGCCTGCAGCATGTAATCACGCCGCTGGTGGGGATTAGGGGTTCGGGGGGGGGGGGGGTAGGGGAGACAAATCTTTTGATGATGGCCATTGTGTTATCTCCTCTTGTTTTTTCACCATGTTCACGTGACTTTAATCTGTCGTGTTGAGGAAAGTTGGGGTCAGGAGAAAATATATGTACAGTTGGGTGGTTGGCCGGGTTGGCCTGCTATGGCTGACCTCTGAGTTGTTTTGCTATGGCTGACCTCTGGGTTGTCTAGCTGACCTTCGGGTTGTCTGGCTGACCTCTGTGTTGTCTAGCTGACCTCTGGGTTGTCTAGCTGACCTCTGGGTTGTCTGGCTGATCTCTGGGTTGTCTGACTGACCTCTGTGTTGTCTAGCTGACCTCTGGGTTGTCTGGCTGACCTCTGAGTTCTCTGACTGACCTCTGGGTTGGCCTGATCTGACTGACCACTGGGTTGTCCTGTTATGGCTGACCTCTGTGTTGTCTGACTGACCTCTGGGTTGTCTGACTGACCTCTGGGTTGTCTGACTGACCTCTGGGTTGTCTGACTGACCTCTGGGTTGTCTGACTGACCTCTGGGTTGTCTGACTGACCTCTGGGTTGTCCTGATCTGACTGACCTCTGGGTTGTCTGACTGACCTCTGGGTTGTCTGACTGACCTCTGGGTTGTCTGACTGACCTCTGGGTGTTCTGACTGACCTCTGGGTTGTCTAGCTGACCTCTGGGTTGTCTAGCTGACCTCTGGGTTGTCTAGCTGACCTCTGGGTTGTCTGGCTGACCTCTGGGTTGTCTGACTGACCTCTGGGTTGTCTAGCTGACCTCTGAGTTGTCTAGCTGACCTCTGGGTTGTCTGACTGACCTCTGGGTTGTCTAGCTGACCTCTGGGTTGTCCACAGAACTGATGCCAGTTCGATGCTCGACCAACGATAAAAAAGTTCCCTATCATTGTGACTTAACGCTTACTTTTGTTTAAAGACAAAATTCTACGCAAAATGCTTCAAACTTTATCTTAAAGTCTGTCAAACTATGCGTTGAACCTTTTGTTAAACCTTGCATCAAACCCTTTTAATCGATGCATCAAAACAGCTGTTAAACCCCATATTGAACTCCTTCGCGTTTTCTGACCTATGACTAAATATGCAACCAATACACTTACTAACAAATTTATAACAAAATGTGCTTTTTTGGTTTTCTATTATATTAAGAGTTTATCTCTAAATTATAAGGTTTAGAACTAGTTAATTAGAGCTAATGATCGCTATACTGAATAACATCTAACCCCTTTAAGATAACGAACTGCAATGTGAAAATAAATAATATTACGCAATCAACTCTCACTTCAACGTCGTTACAAAAATAGGCTTGGTACGTTCACCTTGACCGCGGTCGTTATGAAAGATAAATTGTTTTAAATGTGCCCATTCAGCTAACGCAAACTGGGTCCAAACACCCCCACCACCCCCCCCCCCCCCCCCCCCATACTGCTCTGAACACACTACCGTAACCCAATACATCAATGATAATAAAAATCTATTTGTCCTACGTGAGTCTGAAAATGGGCAAAAATCTGGCCACACTGATGTGACACCCGACGCACACTTGCTCGTCTGCACCCCCATTCGGCAGACGAGCGATTAAAACATTTGATAGCGGGTCGAATTTCCGTGACACAAGCCGGTATCGAGTGTTTAAGAGTGTCAAAGAGTTGTGCCACTTGCTTGTGAGAAGTTGTCTATTTGCACGGCACGATTCTTTTGTGGGAAGTTGTCTATTTGTACGGCGCATTTTTTTTTCTATAAAACGTTGACTATTTGCTCGCCATATTTTCGCTTACTCAGCGTTAGATCTTAGATCAATATCAAGTTTTAAAATAAAGAATTCTGGCAATTTTTCCTTGCTTGGAAAACTAGTTAAACAGTTATTTTACACGTTTAACTACATGGAATATTACCTTACTATAAAAATATTTTAGTAACATTTTGTTCCCATTCCAGTTTAGCCAATCGAATGTCTTCAAACAAAATGTGTTGGAAATATGCCTGAATTTTTCTAACCTACTGCGCATATTTTGCTGAATCAACTTCTGCGTATATTTTTTATGCCAACGGCTGTGTATAAAATTTAGCGTACATATTGGCAGCAAGGACGAAAACATATTCAACGCCCGTTTTAAGATAATTCATATTTGCTAACTGTCTAACAAACCAGCCTTAAAAAAATTAAACAAAAATGAAACGAACTTCACCACGTGCTAAATCAACTTCACCTGTGTGCTACATCTTAACCATGTGCTCCATCAACTTCACCATGTGCTACATCAACTTCACCATGGGCTACATCAACTTAACCACTTGCTACACCAACTTCACAATTTTCTACACAAAATAAATCATGTGCTTTACCAACTCAACCATGTGCTACAACAACTTAACAATTTGCTACACAAACCTAACCATGTGCTACAACAACTTAACCATGTGCTAAATAAACTTAACCATTTGCTAAATCAACTTAACCATGGGCTACACAAAATAAACCACGTTCGTCGCAAAATTCATCGGCTACATCAACTACGTCATGTGCTATACCATCTTAAAGTGTAACAATACACAAAAACCTCACCCATTGCTAGAAAACTAGCATGTGTTTTGTACAAGACTTGGCTACAATGCTACCATCCCCAACAGCAAATCATTTCCTCGACTCAGTACTACTCTCTTATTAAACTTCCGACTGCCAAACACCTAACAACTAGCCTCGCTATCACCGTCGATTACTACACAAAATCCCCCTATCGCCTAGGATAGCAATTTCATGTTCCTAAAAAAAAATTCTAAACAATTAAAAAATATTTAAAACGCGATATAATTACCTTCTTAAACTTATTATATGCTAAAATATCGTGCGCTTTCACGCGAGAAATCGACGGTTTTTAATCGCTGTTTCCTTTGGTAGGGCGAGACGTCCAATATTCAACATCCGCCACAATAGCGATCTCGGTCGGAGGCAGCTTAGGAGAAACCTGCTTGAAGAATAGCCGTTTAATTCGCAAGCCGGGCCGAAGGGACAAAAACGTGTAATCAAGGTTTCAAATTTTCCCTCAATCTCCAAACGTCCGTCTTTGTTGCCTTTCGTCTTTTTCGTCGATTGTGATTATAATTTTTATGGAAGAGGGTTTGGGGCGTCTTAGATGAGGTGATAGAGGCCCTAATCCCTGGCCTTCATCCTTCCCCCCCCCCCCCCCCCCCCATACAGGCCTCTTTTTTTTTAAATATTTTTTTAAAATATTTTTTTAAATATTTCTTTTTAAAATTTCAA